GAGCTCGTTCTCTTCAACCTGCAAAATAGCAATTGTTAGTGATTCCCAGGGACTCAACCCCCCTAATTCAGGCCTTGCGATTTCAATGGAAGTATAATTTTTGGCTGATTCACGTTGTATAATGAGATATGGCCAGAATAAAGTGAATTAGTACAAACATGGTGATGCATGATTCTGGCAGCATGAGACTCATGCGATGGTCCAAGCCTGCATAAGTACATCTCAGAAGCACAATGAAAGCATTAGTTCATATCAAAACATCACAAAATTAAAAATGAGAAAATCATAAAATATGTCAATCGGCCATGCTTGGAATGCTTGTTTCATGCCCTTTTGATCATCAAGAGCAATCAAGCCTTACCCTATAACACCTCAAGGATTGATTGGAACGACTGGTTTGCTTTGAAAGTGGCTGCCATTTGGGTTTGAAGATTGCCCTAGTTTTGATATTTTTTTGGAATTTTGGAAAGGTTTCTTGTGCAAGGTTTTCGTCTTTCTTTGTCTGAAATAATGAGAATATATAATGATGAAATTAGCTCAACCAAGTGGGCTTTGACCCTTGTAAGAAAAGCCTTGATTTTATCTTATTTAATTTTGAATTTAAATAAATAAAATAAAAATAAATAGAATAAAAATCCAAAGGGGTTCATGGATAAGTTCAGAGGTTCATATTGAGGCCTTGTGCATGTTTGGACCTTGAAACATCAACCCACTAGCCCAAAATTCCAAGTTTGCTCAATTTAGGTTTCATTCATTTTCTCAAAACTGCCCAACTTGCATCAATCATAACTCTATAAATTATTATCATATGAAGGTAATCTTTGACTTTTTGGAAAGCTCGAGATGTCATCTACAATATCTATGTTGATCATTTTTGAATTTGAAGATTTTATCTTGATGTAAGTTGCCTTGATAAAAAATGTCTTTTTGTTGACTTTTGAAATGACCTATAATGTTTTGGCCCATATCTCTCAAATGAAGCATTTTTTTGAACTTGAGCTTATAGAGATAAAGTTGTAGACAATTAAATTTCCTTCAAAATGAGCCTTGGTTAAAAAAAATGATGAAACATGTGAAAGTTGTGCTTGGTCAAAGTTCAATTGACTTCTCCTTAAGGAAACCCTAATTTAGTAACTTTTAACTTTTGATGAATCTTGAGTTTTCTTGATGAATCATGATTAACCCTTGATCAAATGATGAATGTGACTTCAAAATCTTGATGTTGACCAAAAATCTTGAGATTTGACTGTATGTTGACCATAGTTGACTTTTTGTCCAATATAGTTGATTTTCAATCATTTGAGCATTTGATTGAGCAAACTTGTAATGCAAGGCTTGAAACTTGGCATGAGCATTATTAGAGACATATGAGAAACCATGAAATCCACTTGAGGTATTATAAGCTCAAATTTCCTTGAGAAAAGAAAACCCTACTTGTAGGTCCATTGCTTAGGAGGAGAATTTGTCTGATCAATAATTGAGAACCCTAGGAGAATGTCTTGGATAATGGGAGGGAAAATTTTGGGGTACAACAGTACCACATACATTTGAGTCAGTGTTAGTGCCATTGCATTATATTATTTTTAATAATCAATGTTTTGGATATTAAAGAAGTATGATTATGTGTACTTGAATTGCTATTTGGTCATTATTATGCTTTCTTTTATATTGTTATGATATCACACCCCTTCTGTTTAAATGTTGCCTCTAAGTGGGTAGCATGCAAATGATCTGAAATAGATCGAGGTTGAGGTTAGCTAAGAAGTGCCTCATTTTACGTAGATTGAGTCGATGTCAGTTCTGATACGTAACACTTGGGAATTTTGTGCTTGTTTTGTTTATGCTGGGAGTAAACTATTGTAAAACTCCACTTGTTAGATTTAATTGATGTTTTATGTTAAATTTCAAATTATGATAATTATAAATCATGTTGAAGAGTTAATAATAATTATTGTTGATGTTTTCCGCTGAGAATAAATGAAAAGAAGTACAGACTTGATGAACATGTGATTTATGTGTTGCGTATCTTTCTATATGAGCATGTATGATCTATGAAGATGTGACATCCTATTTTGATGTTTTATTTTAGAAATTAATTTACTCTAATTTTTACTTAATTTACCAACGGGGAAATATGGTGTTACAATAACCAAGGATACAACCCTAGTTGTACGAGAACACTCTTAAAGAGGGGAAAGCTAATCTTTATCTTAATGCCTCTTTGTTGGAATAAGAGATTGTGGCGTTCATTCCACAAATATAATGGTCTCAACACTGAAAAGTTGGTCAACCCTAGGAGCATCAACAGTAGTCTCGATGGCTGAGAGAGGAATAATGGTCGTAGGAAGGGGCGTCACAGCCTAGCCAATAGGATCAATCTTGATACCTCGAGCATTGGCAAGGTCGTATATCATCTTTAATTTGTCCATGTTATCTACAAGATGAAATCCACATGTCATAATAATAATAATAATAATAATAATAATAATAATAATAATAATAATAATGATAATAATAATAATAATAATAATAATAATAATAATATTAAATAAATAAATAAAATAAAATAAACATAAGACTCTGACCTCACCAAAGATCTCTTTCCTCTCTGCCCGGCCTACCGCACTCACGATGACATGAGTATCAATTTGCTTCTTCCTGAGCTCGATAGAAGGAACTTCACTGAAGCTAAACCTTTCTTCACAGGCAAGTCCTTGAAACCAGGAACATATGTCTTTCTTCATCGTCACCTCATTAAGGGAAAGAGGACCTAACTGGGTGAGGTAGAAGTAGACATCAGTGTGGAGGTGAGGCAGGACCAATACTTCAATAAGACACCTTTAAAGAAACAAAAAGTATCAGCAAGGGATTAACAAAAGGTGAGATGAGCCTTTGGTGTAAGGGGTTTCACCAGCAAGAAGTGCCTCCAAAAATCGCCCAGTCTCAGGTGAAAGGGTCAAACCAAGGATCGTTAGAGTGGAAACTAATAAGCCCTTGATCGTATGTATTATCCCGAGAAGTGCACACCGTATAAAATAAATTATGGAATAGCCCGAGAGAAGGCTTCCAAGACATATACTCAACACAGAACTGGAACACCTTCATGCACGCCAAGACTCTAGAAGAAGTTGGGAAGGGGAAACCTTTAAATGCTTTTTAGAACAACCACTCCAGATTCAGAAAAAGGCTGTCGTAGTCATATCCTTGTGAACAAACACTCGTATAGTGGAACCGAGCAACGATCAAAAGAGTTATATATCTTGTTCTTCGAGCCCATGGGAAGAATCGACCAATATAGAAGGTAGTCGGCCATAATGTTAGCATCATATAGGCTCGCTTTAGTATTTAGAACAAACGAGGTACCCACCATTTCCACATCTATCCATCCGTACTTGACTGTATCAATCATCTCCACCAACGTCACGCCTCTTTAAGTCAGATCATTAACTTTAAAATGCTCGACATGCTTGATCCAAGAAACTACTTCAAGCCTACCTCGACACTTTATATTTCTACATCAGTCAAAACGGGAGGAGGCATATGGACCTCAGTGCAGTTCTCTGCTCCACTTTCATCCAATAAGAGAGATTTAAAAAAGTCGAATGAAGAAGCTCCTTTATCACGGGATTCCCAGACGCTCATTTTCGAATCAAAATCGTCTATCAAAGATATAATTTTTTGACCCATACGATCGCGGGAAAGAGGAGGAAGATACGAATCAGGGGATACCCTTACTCTAACAACAATAGAAACACTGCTATCAGAATCACTATCTATGCAAATATGACTATCATTTATCCTCGCCAGAAAATAGGAAATGCTGAAGGTAAAAGCCTGAGTTGTGAAGGGTATCTCGTTATGCAATATTGATGAAGTGAAGTAAGTGGGGAAAGGCAAACATGTTGATCTAAGAGTTATAATCTCTTGATAAATGCTTTCAGGAAGGAAGAAAGGAGAATGCTTCCTAATAAGAACAATTATGAATGAACTGGAATTTCGTGGGTTGCAAAAGGTTTCCTCAATGCTCAACTCTTCCTATATATAGGTAAAAATCATCGTACGATTTAGATCAGCGATGAAAAAGATTTATAAAATCAATGACTAGATTTCTATCGGAAGCACAAGCAAAAATTGAGTGCACTTGAGAGCATTATAGGCAACACCATGCCTTTGTTAGTTACGTCAACCCACATGTCAGAAGCAAACAATGAAACATTTCAATGATGGGCACACAATTAAAGTGCTTGTTCCTCTACTTCTTTTTCAATTGACTTTAAGTATTTTGGTTCTAATCCAGATCATATGAAAGAGTTTTGGTTCCAATTCAAATCAGACGACTTCCCTAGATGTAATATTCAATCACTAAAAGATTCCCCAGCTCTCTCAAGTGCTCGACAAAGATGGTCACAATAAGGCTACATCAAATGAACTTAACATTTGTACTATAAAATAAGATTTTCACTTAATGTAGCTTTATTGTGACAACCTTTATAACATCTACTTAAGTGGAAACCATACTTTATAATATAAATACTTAGTTACATTTGAACTTTGAACCTTATTGTACATCTACGTCATCAAAATTTAATGTTTTTTTATTAAAAATTGACAAAAAAGACAAAATAAGATAATTGAAGTGAAATTAAAAGACAAACTTAAAATTTCTTTTAGTTAAGAAAGTGAAACAAATCATTAAATTAAATTAAGTTAAAAAACTAAAAGTGAAATTTAAATAATTTTTTTGAAAAAAGAGAAATATAAGTAACAAAAAATAATGAAAGAGCAAGCACAAAAAAAAAAACAGTAATACAGTAACGCGAAGACAACGAGAGAGAACCAACCGAAGTAAAAGAGATTGAGCCACTCTACTCTCTCTCTCTCTCTCTCTCTCTCTCTCTCTCTCTCTCTCTTGGTTGGTTCACCCTTTTGCTTCCTCCTCCTTCTTCTGTTCTTCATTCAAACACTGAACAAGTTGCTGCTATTGTTATTGATCGAAATCAATGAGTGCACAAGGACAACCACAAGTTCAGGCACAACAAGTTCAAGGGATTGATGAAGCGGTTCTGGACGACATTATCCGCCGACTCACTGAGGTCCGATTGTCCCGACCCGGAAAGCAAGTTCAGCTCTCTGAGGCTGAGATCAAGCAACTTTGTCTTGCTTCTAGAGATATCTTCCTTCAACAACCTAATTTGCTTGAACTTGAAGCCCCTATCAAGATTTGTGGTACTTTGATGCTTACCCTTTTTTTTAGTTTTACTTTTCAGCCACCCCATTTTGATTTTTTTGATTTCTAGGGTTTAAAGTTCATGTTTTTAAATGTTGATGCTTTTGGGTATCCTTGATTTGTTGCAAGTTTGGACCTTTTTGATTTAGGGTATATTTTATTTGATTGACTATTAGGGGTTTAAGAAGAAAATGTGGTTTACTACACTTTTAGTTTTAGGGCATATAGAATTTGGAGGTTTGTGAACTTTTCTCCAACTGTTTGTATCCTTAATTTGTTGAAAGATAAATCCTTTTAATTTTAGGATATATTTGATTGATTGGTTGGGATTGAAGTAGAAAATGTAGTTTACCCTTTTAGTTTTTAGGGTTTATCAAATTTGGAGGTTTGTGAACTTTTCCCCAAGTGATTATTGTTTTTGCTATCCATAATTGTTGCAAGTTAAAGCCTTTTAGTTTTAGGGTGTTTTTGATTGATTGGTAGGGATTGAAAAAGAAAATGTGGGTTGCCCTTTTAATTTTTAGGGCATATAAAATTTTGTGGTTTGTGAGAAAATATTTTTGTGAACTTTTCTCAAATTGTTTATTGTTTGTCCTTAGTCTTTCTATATGCATTTTGTGTTGTAGATTGCTGATTGTTGTTAAGGTTATTTTGAGTGAGTGTGTGCTGATATTTGAAACCTCTCTTTGAATTTTCAGGTGACATTCATGGGCAGTACAGTGATCTGTTAAGGCTCTTTGAGTATGGCGGTTTGCCTCCTAAATCTAATTATCTCTTTTTAGGAGACTACGTGGATCGTGGCAAGCAGAGCTTAGAAACCATATGTCTTTTGCTTGCTTATAAAATCAAATATCCCGAGAACTTTTTCCTTTTGAGGGGAAATCACGAGTGTGCTTCCATTAATAGGATATATGGATTTTACGATGAATGCAAGCGAAGGTTTAACGTGAGGCTTTGGAAAGCTTTTACCGACTCTTTTAATTGCCTTCCTGTCGCAGCTCTCATAGATGATAAGATATTGTGCATGCATGGCGGTCTTTCCCCCGATCTCACTAATTTGGATCAAATCAGGATTCTGCCTCGTCCCGTTGCTATCCCTGACACTGGCTTGCTCTGTGATTTGCTTTGGTCTGATCCTGGTAGAGATGTGAAGGGTTGGGGCATGAACGATAGAGGAGTGTCGTACACCTTTGGTCCTGATAAGGTTGCTGAATTTTTGTCAATGCACGACTTGGACCTTATTTGCCGTGCTCATCAGGTTTCTCTATATTTTTTCGACCCTTCCATCCTTCATGTTATTATTTTACCTCCTAATAAAAGAGTAAACATGTGATACTTTTCCGGTAACTGACATGATAGTCTTTTTATAGGTTGTAGAGGATGGATATGAATTCTTTGCAGACAGGCAACTTGTTACGATTTTTTCAGCTCCAAACTACTGTGGTGAATTTGACAATGCTGGTGCAATGATGAGTGTTGACGAAAACTTGATGTGTTCCTTCCAGATTCTTAAGCCTGCAGAGAAAAAAACAAAGTTTGTGATGTCAAACAAGATGTGATGGTTGCCACATCACTTTTCCTTAATTAACTAAGGTTGGCTTTTTGTTGCATTTGGATTTTATGGCCTTATAAAGATGTTAATTAAACATAAACCTTTAACTGCAATATGTCGGCTATTTGAGAATTCTGTGGTTTTTGAATTGGTGTTTTAAATTCTTTTTATTTCAAAACTACTGATACTTTAAAAATCCAAGGTCTACCATTTTCTTCCCCATTTTTTTGCCAGTCAATTTAGTTCGAGTTTTTAGATTAAACAAATGCTTTCCATCATTAACTTTCCACCTAAGAGTCAATGCAAGTTTTTGACATGGCTGGCAAAAGTTCCCTTGTTACTGACATGGTGGAAAAGAAAGCACACGTTGATTCTTATATATATTTTAGCCACACAAAAACCTTTCAACACCCTCGACCCTGCTCTCTAAAAAATCTATTCACATTTGTGCACAACAAAAGCCGTCGACTCTATTGTGGGATTAAGAAGACAAGAAACATGATTTGGTGGTTCTATGATAGCAATGAAATTTATGGAGTGGGATGAGGGAAAATGTTTTGGTGGTTCTATGATAGCAATGAATTTATGGTAGTTCATTGTTTCTGTGTTCTCGATAGATTGTAGAGCTTGATAGTAGCAGTAATTGGGGTATAGAAATGCTGATGTGATGGTTTTGTCTTGCAGTATAGGGGGTGTAAAGAACATAGTGCAATGGGTTGTAGCCTGAGTGCAACTGTGTGTAGATGAAGGTAAAAGGACAATGAGTTTGGTGATGGCGATTTTGGAATGACTTGACGAGAAAGAAAGTAGTGAAGTATTGTCTTGTTGGTTTCAAATGGAGTGGTTCATGGGGTATGTTGATGGTAACAAGGTTGGTGCATTGTAAAGGCCTCTAGTGGTTGGAGTTTGAGTAGTTCATGGGTATTGTGTTGATGGTAATGGGTATTCATTGTTGTAAAGGTCTAATATTGGCTGCTAGTTTTGTGAAGCTTTCACCATAGGTGTTTTATAAGATGATGGTGTTGTAGAGGTGATTAAGGGATTGATGTTTGGTTGGGCATGGAAGCGGATTGATGTTGGAGCAATGAATGTGGGATGTTTATTCACAAAGGTTGTTTTAATGTAGGCGAGAGCAAAACGAATGGAAACATGACTTTTGATGTGAGAGGTGGGTTCTTGTTATTGTTCTTTGATAACATCACCATTTTCCTTTGCAAAGGGAATAGTGTAAGAATAATGCCACAAATAAAACCCTAACTTCATTTGAACCATGATACTATTAATGTGATCTGTATCCATACACCAATGGGATTGTCTGGAACGAAATATCAGCCACTAAGCTAGATTCCTTCAATTTAAAGACTGCTTTGTTCTATGACTTTCCGGACATGCCTTGTGATTATTTTCTTGTTTCATAATTTTCTTTAAGTGATAATTTATTTTTGCTTAATTTTAACATAAGTCCCTTTCCTTTTTTTGTTTACTCTGTCACAGATGTATTTGTCAGGTTAAATTAAGCTCGGAAAGACGTAGGTTTGCATGGTCAGTTGTGTCGATTCTGAGGCGATGATGATATTCATATTGAACCCTAAATCCATCCTGTCAGGCAGTGGGCATAATATAATGGTTACATAATGTTAAAGCTCTTGTGGTTGACCATAGTAGCAAAGGTTTTTATTTACCTTTTATTCTGTTCATTTTTATCTTTAAATTATGCTACAACGCCATATGTACATATGTGTTGTAGATGAGTTTGGGAATATGTTACTTTGTTCTCAAAGGTAGTCTGATTATTAGACAATATCAAGTTAAAATGATAGAAAAGTTTGTGTTGTTTGTGATGATGATTTTCACCGATTTTATTCAGATAAAAATGTCGTTGGTGGATTATATGGTTTTTCGGTACCTGTCTAGATTTTATTTCTGTCACCTTAGCATGAAACACCTATGTTTGCACGATTCTATTATTTTATTTTTGTTTTTATAAAAGGTGGGAGAAGTCCACATATCCTAGCTCAAATGGTAGAAGCCGATATTGCTAGGAAACGCCATCACCAGGGTTCAAACCTTGATACTCACGATTGTGTGAGTTTCTAGTGGTTATTATCACATTGTGTTGTCTGTTGAAATTCAGAAGGGAGAAAATGGGTATTTAGCCTGTTTGTTTTGTTGCAAAGAAACTTTTAGGAATTTTCTTTCAATTTCTGTTACTTCTTCATGTGTTGTGGTCCTCTTCCATTTTCCACCAAACCAGAATTGCCTTTGATTTTCTTGTTACAATCCCAAATCTCAATCAGTCTCATGTCATCTCAATCTCTTGCAATGTCATTGTTGAAGTTGTAATATCAATGTCATGGGACCGATGTTCTGTTATATAAGGTGAATATGACTAAAAAGTGATGGTTTATTTTCTACTAATGTGAAGCACGGATACTTCAAAAACGATCGTAGTATTGATGTCCCACATGTATCCGATATTGATATGCGATATTGAGAAAGTATCCAAAAAAATATTTTAAAAATATTTATACTGATACTTATCAACTATAAACACATTTGTCATGGTGCAACATGTTTCATCATACTAACTATTCATCAACTATAAACACATTTGTCATGGTGCAACATGTTTCATCATACTAACTATTCATTAACATTAAAATGTGTTAATATACCTTGGCAGTGTAGTTGGGCTTGGGCTTCTTAAAATCACAATTTTATCAAATTAAGTGTGTTTTGGTTAGGCATCCATGCTCTTTCCATGACATTTACATTGGATCTTATCAATCCAATTTATTTCTATCTTATTTTACTTATTCATTAATTCATCTAATAAAAATGTATATACATTTAGGTAATTTCTTAACCCATCCCATATACTTCTTACGCGCCACATGAAATTCCACAAATGCCTTTTAAAATCAGAAGTATATTTTTTATTCGCACCATGGCATATATGAATTACGTTGGAAGGGTTGTGTGCAAATCGTAAGTATACTTTCGATTTTAAACTGTAAGTATACTTCTGGTTTTTGGACGCACTAAATGGTGCCATGCCTCTTCTCCTTCCATTACAATAACTTTGTTGAAATCAAAACACATAACTCTCTCAAACTCTCTAACCCTTCTTCCATAAATCAATTTTTTTTTCAAAAAATCACCAGAAATCATGTAACATTTGACAAATATAGCATTATTATAAAGGAATCAATTAAGCAAAATCAACACCAATCAAGTAAGTTGGTTTTTAAATTTTGAATTTATATAATTTCTACTCAAATTAGTGAAATAGGATTCTAAATGTAATATAATAGTTAGTTTTCATCATTAGGAGTCATTAGAAAACTGTTTGTAAACTTTATTTGATGATCAAAGCATCTTTTTAAACTCATTGGTGGGATTGGGACGCTGAGTTGCATTGCTCTGTTATCGCAGAGGAAATCGAAAGTATACTTTCGGTTTTGGTTAGAATAAAATCGGAAGTATAGTTTTGGTTTCTGTCTGCATTTGTTTTAAGCCTTGTTTTGCACACTAGACCTTTATGTTAACATTTCTTTTTTACTTCGAAAGGAGATATGGATGAGAGAAAATCACGATTGAGGCACGACAGAGTTGCACAACACGCTTATATATATATATATATATATATATATATATATATATATATATATATATATATATATATATATATATATATATATATATATATATATATATATATATATATATATATATAGAGAGAGAGAGAGAGAGAGAGAGAGAGAGAGAGAGAGAGAGAGAGAGAGAGAGAGAGAGAGAGAGTCCAACCTTCTATTAGATGCACCTCTTACTGCTTCAGCCTCCGGTGAGCCCGATTCTTACTCATTCTACGTCATCCTCCCGCAGTAGACGGGATTCTCTAATTCATCCTTCGCCACCCCCATCCTCCCGCAAACACACTTCCTCACCTAGGATATTTGAGGCAGAATTTAAGTCTCGTACATAGGCGACACTTGAGGCCCAGGAATCGGAGGCGACACCCTATGCTGCACTTGAGGCTACACCAGCAAAACCTGAGGCCGCACCTGCGCCCCCCAAGCTTTTTCTAGGAGGACCGTCTAATTTATCAATTCTGCCTCTTTATCCCAACCATGTTGCCAGACGTATCTGGGATGAAGAGATATGAATTTTGCTTTTGTATTTCTATTGTGAATTTTATTATGAATTTTGACTTGAATTTTATTATGCAGGAACGTGAGACGCTCAAGGTCATTAGCCATGAACGGAAGATCAGTAGACTTGTGTCGCCTACTGAGTCGTGGTTTGACGAGCTCTTACGGCTTACAGGGTTGAGAGATTTGACCCTATGTAGATTTACCGTGGTCAACTAGGGTATGATCAATGCTTTTATTGAAAGATGGCACCACGAGACTTCTTCCTTTCATCTACCACATGATGAGATGACGATTACACTCGACGACGTCACGTGTCTTCTTCATCTGTCGATCAGATGGCCTTTTTTGGATTATGAGAGGATCAACAAAGAAGACACATTGGATTTATTGGTTCTGATCCTGGGAGTTACACCTGAGAGTGGTCTGAGAGAGATTGATAAGACCTGTGGTTACCACGTCAAGTATAACTATTTGGCTACGGTGTACACGAATGAGATTAGGCGTGTACAAGAGGCTCATGGTGATCCCGAGCAGGTTACCATTCATAGGAGGTTTTCCATGAGACCATACCTTTTATATCTTGTTGGCACACATATTTTTGTTGACACCAGAGCCACTTACACCGACTTCATGTACCTGCGATACTTTGATGATTTTGAGACTGTCAACCAGTGAAACTGGGGCGCTGCTTGCTTGGTTTACTTGTATATCAAGTTGGATGATGTCATTATTTGGGAGACGAAGCAAATGACCGATAAGATGTCACTTATGACGGTATAAATTCTTTGTCCTTGTGGCCTTTATTAATAATTTTAATTTCGAAATTAAATAATTAATTTTGTTATTTCAGGGA